TTAGTCGAATGACTAGCTAGTCTAACCTGAAGTAATGGGCTTATATTAAATTTTAATCCCATGTTAAGATCCGTAACGTTTAATATGTAGTACAATTGTTAATGTATCACAAAAATTATCGATTTGATTTAAATCTTGATCAACTAATTGAATAGTTATTAAATCAATATTTGTTTTGTTCAATTTATAATATATAAGGTTTGGTGGTGATTGAACCACTTTTGTTCCAGTTTTCCCACTAGAGAAAAACTCGTAAATTGAATGAGTTTGAACGTGATTACTGAATGATCCTTGAGCAATATTACACATCACTTTTATACAGTTAATTGTGTTTAAATTTATAGCTTTTTCCGAACGCAGAATTTGAAAATCTGGATAATAGTCCCGTTTTTCAAACCCTAATAAAGGCGCTATTCCATAAACCTTATTAAACTTAATTAACCCATTACATTTTATGAGAGATTTAAAATCGTTAGGATCAATTAAAATTTCGAAAGATATAGATGTTCCATTTTCTTTATTAAAGTCTGTTACTTGCTGGTTAATATCTTTAATATTTAACAACCTTTTTTTAGCGTAATAAAACAAATTTCCAATCCATTTCGATTCTTATCTAATACTTGAATTGCAAATTTATTATTTTCGAATTAATATTTGGAAATAAATTGAACGTTTGTAAACATAATAAAGCTATTTCAGAGTCCTCATACACGTTTAGAGGTGGAAAAAAAGTTGTAATCAATTTAGTATCATTCCCGGTTAAACTTAGAGTGATTAATTCATACATTGTAAAAATTTAAGACATAAATGTCCACAGTTAAATGAATTATAATTCTAATAATTTGAATAGTTATATATGATTTTGTTTCCTTTAAAATATTTTTGTAATTCAATTGGTGGAGGTAAATCACCAAAGCTGTCAAAGTATGTAACTTTATCCTTATTTTTATAAAACGCTACCCAATGACTTCCATCGCCTGAAGATATATTTAAGTTTAATATTCCACATTAAATTTTAAGCGGTTTTTTAGGTAAGTCGTTACGTGAAAAGATTCCACGGAAATGACAAATATTAAACTCTCCAACACTTTTTATAATATCTTGAGATGAAAGTGGTCAATTAGGCAGCGTATTCATCAGTTTTTTTTTCTTAACCTATTATTCTTCAGATATAATCCACTACCTTTTTTTCTTTTCGAATTTTATATTACATTATATACACTAGCACTTCCAGACATTAAACTACCAAGTGCTGATAATCCTGCAAAAATAGGTATTAAGGGAATCAAACTTTTTTTCTGACCCGGTATCAAAATCTATCTTTTACCACTATAATTTTTCTTAACCTTGCTTCTTTTTTTCGCTGCTAATGAACTATTTTTTTTTCTAGTTTGTTTTTGTCTACTTTTGTAACCCATCCCCATTTTTTGTTTAGCCTTCATCGCATTTTTTACCAAGTAGGCAACAATTTTCTCTTTTCGAGGAGTGTCTTTAGCTTTAAATCTTTCCCAAGAACGATTTTCTAACACTTTATCAGCTAACTTTTCGCGTACACTAAGTCGTGATCGCGACAAGCTTTATCTAATGGGTTTATTCCTTTATCACCACGATCTATTCGCTTTTCTAATTTCATACCAGGACCACAAAACTGATAACCAGGAATGTGAGCTTCAAACGGAAGACTATTTATAAGAGAGTTTATAAAACCTTTTCCAGTCTTATCTGATTTCCACTTAAGAGTTGAACGCGTCATCAATAACTGATAATAAATTATAAGTTCTAGAGTATTTATAAGAAAATGAATTTGATTGAACAGAAAGATAAATTAGATATTTTAAATGTTGATACTCAAGTAATAAAAAAATTGTCAAGACACGGTCCGTTATTACCCGACACTATACGTGCTATTATAGTTAGTTGGTCCTAGTGGTTCGGGTAAAACAAATATAATGTATAACCTAATCACACATGAAAACGGATTAAGATTTGAGAATATTTATTTATACTCTAAAACTTCTAATCAGGAAAAATATATTTTATTAAAAAAAATAATAGATGTTATAAAGGGTGCTAACTTTTTTATATTCACAGACGCTGAAAAAGTTATAAAACAAAATCTAACTAAAAAAAATTCTATCATTATATTCGATGATGTATCATGTGGCCCGCAATCGATTATAAGAGATTATTTCAGTATGGGTAGACATTCAGGTGCTAGCTCTGTATCTTATTTAGCACAAATATATTCTAAAATTCCAAAACAATTGGTGAGAGATAACTCAAACTTTTTAATAATACTAAAACAGGATGATACAAATTTACGTCAAATATTTAATGATCATTCATAGGCTTCATAGGACTTCTCAGAATTTCGGAAAATTTCTCATTTATGCTGGAATCATAATGATTACGGATTTATGGTTATCGATAAAACACGTGAAATCAATAAAGGTAGATTGTAGATGTGGTTTTCATACTTTCATTAAAAAATAAAATAATTATATAAATATAGTTGTAATTTAGTTAACATCTACATAATATTGTTTTAAGTCGTAGGAAACAGTTAAATTAAATTATTATTTCTAATGGATAAAGAAAAAGTTTTGTTAGAAAATTTTGTGACATCGAAAAAAAAAATCAGACGTAAAATAATGGATATGAGACGTGGTGCTATAGATTCTGATAACTATTTTCGTGATACATTTAAACCTTTACTCGAACCATCGAATACATTGTCAGAAAAAAATATTCCGATTATTTCTAATAAAGATGAAGAAGTTTTAAATGCTAATGATGAAGATAACAAAAACTTATTAAATTCATTGTTTGATAATTTTTTTATTTTAAATCCTAAATCACGACGTTATGATAAATCTTATGGTATGCATTATGACTCAGTTAACAATCAACTTAAAATATCAAATATCCCTGTTACTTTTGAACATGGTAACTTACACTTACTCGATAACTACTATCCTTGGACTAAAGGACTTTGGTCTTTATTATGTGAGAAAGTAACAAAAAATATGACAATGCAGGAAATGGAATCATACTATAATATTTAGAAAATAAGTAAAGTTTTTTTAAAAGCAGATGGGAAACCAAAGACTTCGGGATATTTTAAATGGATGTATGTTGTAAAACCTTTATATGAACGAATGAAAATTGAGGAGAAACAATTTAATGAGGAAATATTGAAAATTAATAATGCGAAAGTTAAAAATTCTACTCAATTAAATCTAAAACAATTTGACAACTTTTTGGCTAGTTCAAGTGCTAAACGAAGAAAAATCGATAATAATACAACTATAAAAAATGGCCCGTTTGATTTTTCACCTTCAATGAATAGTTCTAAATTTAAAGAACCTCCAACTAGCCAGCTGTTCAAATTTAGTTTATCACCAAAGGGTAAAAAAGGTTCTGGTTTATATAAAGATGTTATACCTCAAATACAATTAGTATATTATGATGATCTAAATGAGTTAGTTGAGAGATTGAATCTAATAACTGCATCTAAAGGGTTGGTAATACTGGTGTTAATAATGAAATCATATCTATTCTAAAGGAATTACGTGAAAGAAATATTATAGTATAATGTCAACATTAGAGTGTATAGCTAATGAGTTACATCGACCTGCTAGAAAAATATTCCCTAGACGTAGCACAATAACACGATTTAAAGATGACCTTTGGCAAGCTGATTTAATGGATATGCAATCTCATTCCAAACACAATCTGGGTTTTAAATATATTTTAGTTGTTATAGATACATATACAAAATATGTATGGGTAGAATCGCTAAAAAATAAAACAGGTAAAGAATGTACAAAAGGAATGTCTAATATATTAAAACAAGCCAATCCTAAATTATTACAAACAGATAATGGTACAGAATTTTATAATATTGAATTTCAAGATTTAATGAAAAAATATAAAATTAGACATTACAGTTCATACAGTGTTATCAAATGTTCGATTGGTGAACGTGTTATACAAACGCTTAAAAATAACATAATATATAAACATTTCACTGCAACAGGTACATGGAATTGGTATAACACAATATCAAAAATTATTTATAACTACAATCATACAAAACATAAAACGATTAAATGTACACCATACGAAGCTAGGATGAATACAAGTAAAATTAAATCAAATATACAAATAAATAAAAAAACATTATATAAACCAAAATTTAAAATTAATGATAAAGTAAGAATATCAAAATATAAACACGTAATTAGTAAAGGATATACACCAAATTGGACAACAGAAATTTTTACAGTTTCTAAAATTTTACATACAAATCCGATAACTTATCAACTAAAGGATGGATCTGGAAATATAATTTTAGGTGGTTTTTATGAACAAGAAATTAAATTAACCGATTTCTCAGACACTTTTCTAGTTGAACGTATTATAAAAAAAGTTAAAGATAAAATGCTTGTTAAATGGTTAGGTTTTGATTCAAGTCATAATTCATGGATATCATCAACAGATATTTTAAAATAAAAATTTTTTTTTATTTATGTATTTTTTATTTAAAAAAATAAAAAAATGTATTATGTTTTTTTAAATGAATTAATTATTTATTTTATAATGACCATACGCTAGTGTATTAATCCCATCATCCATTATAAAACATTTATCATCGTTTGCACTTATTACGAGCTTATTCATTGTTTTTGAATGGACAATATGTTTATTCGATTGAATAAAATTCATTTCTCTACAAGTTTGTTTATCATCGACAGATCTATCATTTATATACGCATTTAATATTTTCATATACTCTTTAAAGTGCATATGTTTATCAATTATATATTTTTTTACTCCTTTTGCTTTTTTTACCTCATCATCATTTACAGTTTTATAGGCGTATAATTTCGGTCTTAATGATACAAATTCCTTTAAAATTACTCCTTCCATTTCATCCTTAAAATATCCTGGTTGATTTTTATTGATTTCACAAAACAATAATGATTTTTTGGATAGTTTTATGTATCGAAAAACGGTAATAAATCATATCTTAAGTCATTGAAAAAGTTGTGTGTTTGAATTTCATATACCATAGAATCTGTATCTGAGTATAAAGAATTAATTTTGTTACCATATCTTTTTTTCATTACATCATAATGAAAATCATACATAAATGTTTTCGAAACGTCTAAGATTGCGAATCCTACATAAATCGGTTTATCAAATTTAATAATTTCCTTATGCCGATGAATAGCCATTAGATTTTTAGAGTATATAGTTCTATCTTTAAAATTAGTTTTCATCATTAATTTATTTGCTTTTATTTCTGATGAAACCAATTTTAAAGAAGTTCTAGCTCGAACATTTTCCATACATTTACCAAAAACGCTATTAATTAATAATTTCCAAAAGTTTTTTTCAAATTTGTTTTTAGCTATTACTCTCATTTTCGTACAAAGTTCAATGTATGGTGCCAAACATTTACTCTGTGAAAATCTTATAGCTCGATGAATTTTTACCAACTTAAGTCCATTAACAATTGCTTGTTTCAAATTTTTATAATGTACAATATAATTTTTTTTTGATGATAACGTAGTAATCAATTTTTTAACTTTTGAATTAGGAGGACATTCGTTTATAGGTAAAAATGAAAAATCATTATGCTTTTTATGTAAATATTCAGGGTAATCAATATCAACTTCTAATATATATCCAACTTTCGAATCATCAGGAATTTTAGTAACGTCAATGTCTAAATCATCAACCCATTCAAAATCTTTTAGAGGTAGTTCTGTTAACATTGATTTTCCATATAAATTTACACAATCAAGATATGTAATCCATTTGATTGGTTTATCAGAATCATAGCTTAAACCTTTAATTTTTGGTATATTTACTTTAGCATATCTTTTTGTTGATTGGACAACCCCACCTCTGATGGCATTCTCAAAATATAAAAGCTGGTTAAAATCTTTTAATATTTCTAATTTAACCTTAGTATATTTAAGCATACAATCAAAAGTAAACCCTGGAGCAGTCATATAATTAGCAGGATCTAGTCTAAGAGTAGACAAACATAAATCTCTAAAATTTTCGAACACATCTGTTGGTATAGTAACATCAGTTTTTAAGTAAAGATCGCTATATTCACCCAAAGTTTTTAAATCGAACATCTTCCATATTTTTTGGGCATGAGAATAATCTTCATCACTGATTTCCTCATCTTTTAAAGAGTTATAAAATAGATTTTTTGGAGGTAAACAGGTTTCATTTAGTTTACTCCAACTATCGATGTATTCATAAGGGAAAACACCTTTTCGTGTTACTAAATTTAATTTTTTATTAGAAAATATCTTTATAGTTTCTCTAAATCTCGATTTATCTTCATTCAAATTATCCGCAAGTTC